CATGGGTTAGTCGGGGACTGGTCAGTGTTGGGTTCATGATCTTAAAGGGATTTTCCAATCGAGGCAATTCTGTGATTCTTCCCCACCAGTGCCCGACCAGCTGCCCACCAGGTCCCAAGGGCCCCCAGGGACTGCAGGGACTGAAGGTAATGGAGCCCTGGAGCTGCCAGGGAGCGAACAGGGACTGTCATCTCCAGCTCTGCGCCTGAGCAGAGGGGCAGGCACACCCCGAGAGCCCTGGGGGAAAAAGTGCTGTGGGGACTGTCCTCCATGGCTCCCCAGCTCCTGCCAGCCCCTTCCTGGGGGGGTGACACCCCACACCAAACCCCCAGCCCCAGCTGTGCCACTGCCCAGCTCCTGATTAGTGGGCATTGCCACGGCACACCCTCGCGGCTTGGGGTGCTGAGCCCTGAGCCCCATTCCATCAGCAGTGGGATGCTGGGCCCCATTGGGTCACCAGCGGGCACCCCAGGGTGTCATGGGGAGGGCGGCTCTGGGTGATGTGGCTATCAGGATGCTGCCTCAAAGCAGGGATGCTCATGATCTTCTTCTTCCCCTTAGGGACACAGAGGCCGCCCCGGTGCCCTCGGGGAGCCTGGCAAGCAGGGCAGGCAGGTGAGTGACCTCCTGGCACCTTCCCAGCAGGATCCAGGCATGCCTGTGTCTGGGGAGCTGGGGCAGAACCGGAGGGCAGGGGGCTCTGAGGAGAGAAAGGGACAAGGAAGGACAGAGGTGGGAGAGGGAGGAGGGAGACCCAGGCATGGGAGATGGAGGGTGGACAGGGTGGGCTTCCCACAGTGCCTCCCTGTTGACGGGAACCTGTCCCCATCCCCTGCCGGGTCCCAAGTGAGGGAGTTTTGGGTCCCCAGGGGGGGTTTGTACCCCCAACACTCACCTCACTTCTCTCCATCCATCCCAGGGCCCCAAGGGTGACGTTGGCCTCTCTGGAGAACAAGGTGTCCCAGGCCCCCCGGTAACGGATGCATTTCTCTTTGCTGCTTTGCTCTTTGCTGCTCTGTCCCTCCTGGCTGGTTTATGTTTGTCCCCAGACACCAGGGACATGACACCAGCATGTCCCTGCTCCCAGAGACCCATTGCTGGGACCAGAGCGAAGCCTTCATCCCATCCATCTCCCTCCTCCCAGCCATGGAGCTGCCACCAGGAGGGTGGCAAAGCCTCACCCTGACATCAGCACTGGCCCAGGCACCTGGGTCATTAGTGCTCATTAACGTGGATAACTCAGTGACAGGCGACAAATCCCTCATGGACACTGACCCCCCCCTTACCCCACCTGAACGGGGGGTGCAGCGCCCAGCTCGCCACGGGGACGTTGGGATTAACGCTGTTGGAGCTCGCTGAGCACTTTGAAGATGAAAAGCAATTAATGGGCTGAGCCCTTTGGACCAGGAAAGGGCAAAACTGCTTTGAAGCCAAGAGCTTTGGTGGGGGAAACCACACCAGTTTGGGCCCATTGCTGTTCTTGAACTGACAGCTGGAAAGGTGCCTGGTGGGGGGGCTGTGGAATTAGGAGTGAGCGGTGGGACTGAAATACCCCATGTTTGGTAAAACTGGCTGATTTCCAATACTGGCTTTTGTTTTAATTGTGGCTTCACCCTGGGCTGCTCCTGGGGCTGTTTCCAGCTAAACTGGTTGTTGTTTCCTTCCCTGCAGGGTCCGCAGGGCTTGAGGGGTTACCCCGGGATGGCAGGACCCAAGGGTGAGACAGTAAGTGCTGGTGGGACACAGGGGTGGCTCTGCCTGGCTCTGGGTTCAGGGTGACCAGCTCCC